TCCCTCCCTCCCCCTCTCTCTAAAAAGTAAATGAAATCTTCAAAAAAATTTTTAAAAAAACATCTGAATATCTAAAAAACAAAACAAATAAGCTGAAAATAAAAAGAATAGAGAACATTTGACAGTTTCCAGATGGGAGGGGTACCAGAGGGATGGGCAAAAAAGGTGAAAGGATTTAGAAGCACAAACTGGTAGTTCCAGAAAAGTCATGGGGATGTAAAGTACATCATAGGAAAAAAGCAGCCAAAGAACACATACGCATGACCCGCGGACACGAGCACGGACAAAGGTGTGGGGGTTGCCTGAGGGTGTGGGAGGTGCTGGCTGGATGGGGCAGAGGGAGAAAAAATGGGGACAACTGTAATAACATAATCAATAAAATACAATTTAAAAAAAAAGAAAAGAAAAATGTTTTTACAGACATGTACTATGTAGCTAGGCCTACGATGGTTATATATGTATTGAACATGTACAGACAATACAGTGTAACAACTATTTACAGAACATTTACACTGTAGTAGGTATTATAAGTAATTTAGAGATAATTTTAAGCACATGGGAGGATATGCTTAGGTTGTGTGCAAATATGACACCATTTTATATAAGGGACTTGAGCATCCACAAATTCTGATATCCACAGCGGGCCCTGAAACCAATCCCTTCGGGGTGCTGAGGAAACACTGCCACAGGAACACCACACATCAGCGCCCAAAAGCACAAAAACAAAATAATAATCCAGAAGCACAGTGCCAGTGCCACAGAAACAGAAATCAGCAGCATCAGCCATCCAACTGTTATCTTTCTGAGGGAACTACTACTTTGCTTTTAACTCTATCACACTTTGAAGCAACAAATCAAGTTCCAACCAATATCTGAAGCATGGATTCTGGGGTACTATTGGAAAGCAGCTGCCTAGGGTGCAAACAGTTCCTTTGATTGTGCTGTTTTATCCAGGGCCCTTCTTCAGGCTGCAATTAGAAAGTAACCAAAAGTGGGGAGTGGAAGTATACAGTTGTCCTTGGGCAAAGCCTTCCTGCCTCTATGCATAATTTAAGGGAAATGAACTAGGCTCTACAAAAAAGGGAAATCTAATTTGCCCTACTCTCCCCACAACGTACAGTTGTCTCGGCAGATCTATATATTCATTGACACATTATTAGAGGTTTTAAGGTCTGGGGAAGATAAACATTCGGAGAAATCTCTCCTGCCTTACTTGAAGGGCAAGCCCCATTGGGTCGTCATCTGGGAGTTTGCAGGGAGGCCCAGCCTGCAGCAGGAGTCACCGCACGCCATCTGCCTGCCCTTGAGGAAGCTCATGCAAAGACTCCAGTTCCTTCATCTGCGCCTTCTCCCACTCCGCTCAGAACAAACACCAACACCATAAGCTGTCAGGATATCTTTTTCTCCATTTAAAGGCAATGGCCTCCAGAAAATGTCCAAATATCAGACAGAAGGCAATCTTCTGAGTGTTGTATTCAAAGCCCTCCACAGTCCATCCAGTCTCCAAATAATCCTCAAGCATTCTGTGTTTCTGCCACTATGAGACTGTCCCCCAGTTCCTGCACAACTCTTGACATGTTCATTGGAGAGTCTACCAGTCCTGTTCTAACTAGGACAGCCACATATTCTTGTGCATTTTTTGTCTTGCTCAAGGGCACCTGGCCAAGGGGACAAGGGCTGAATGGAAGCTGAAATTCAGCCTCTCTTTTGTTTGCCAAACCATGTGCCCTGACATGAGGCTGCCTGGAGGAAGGGGCAACCTTTTCTAATTTATACAAGGGTGCCATATGGGATAATAGAGCTCTGGCCCCAACATCTCTGTCTTGAGTACTTGACTGGCCTCCCCTTGTGTAAGAACAGTAGATGTATAGGAAAGAAGACTAGAAACCAAAACCCCCAAGGAGAGGAATGCCTACCTGCCCAGTCATTACAGACATAATTATACACTCAATGGGACCTCCCTGTGATTTTTATTCCTACGTGCATATTGTATATCTATGATAACTTTAAGATAAGCATAGAGCGGAATCTTCTACTGATTATGAGTTCTGTGAAATTCTTTAAGCAGGAAGGCAAGAACTCTGACAGAGATTGCTAGAGCTACATCCACAAATTCTCAGTCATCGCACCATTTGCCCCCATGGCCTTGGTCAGTAGAGGCTTACCAAAAGGAACACCAGAACTCCTTGCTATATGGCTCAGTTATCATCTAATATGATTTCTTATAAATGCAAATTACTGTCATGTTTTGTAAATGCAAGCCACCAACACAAGAGTGCTCAAATCCAAATGTTCCCTTTGGATTTAAACCATTCCCAGGTTTAAAATTCTCAAAAACAAAATTTAAAAAATGTGGCACACAAGGTTAACACATGGCCCCTGCCTAACTCCCAAGCCCACTTCTCCACTCTCTAGCAAAACTATCGCCTCTATTCCAGTCATACTAAATTATTTGCAGTTCACCGTATGCCCCATATTCTCTCTCTCCATGAGTATCCTGAGATACTCACAAAACAAGCAAGATCTGGCCCTACCTATATTTTGTACCATAAAGGCATCATACCACTCATGCACCATCCAGAGTCCATCTACTCCCTATTCTCAAACTCATGCAATTCTTGTCAGAACTTGTCTTCTCCCCCACTTTTTACTTAGCTAACTCCAAATCACCCTTCCTCAAAGAAGTTCTCCCAGATTATGCATCCTCAGAAATTCTAACATAAGTTAAATTTCATAACTTAAGTAAAATTACTTGTGCACTACCCCTACTAGACTGTAATATTCCATGAGGGGTTGCTTTACTCCCTGGCTGTATCTCCAGCACAGTAGCTGGTGCAAAGTGTCTCCCAGTAAATATCTACCAATGATGATGAACCCATTCATTTGAATTTCTAAACCTGTGCTGTCCGTTACAGTAGCCACAATCGACATGTGGCTGTTGAGGCCTAGAAATACACTAGAACAAATTGAGATGTGTTCCAAGTGTAAAATATACACAAGATTTCAAAGACTTAGTAAAAACTTAAGTATCTCATTATTTCTTATATTCATTAAATGCTGAAATGTTTTGGATATAGTCTATTAAATAAAACGCATCAGAAGTAAATTTTTAATATATCAACTAGACAACTTAAAATAACAAATATAGCTCACATTTGTTGCTTACATTATATAGCTACTGACAGTGTTGGTCTAGAGTGCCCTTTCTCCAATCTGCTCTTCCTCTTCATCCATGAACTGCCAAGATGTACACTAGCTGCTCCTGAGTAATCTCTCCATAGCATCCACAACTGGGTTCTTCATGGCGTGCTCCTTTCTGTTCAAGGTGCATTATATTAACTTATTTAACTTCTTTCTTATGTGAGCCCTCATTACAACCTTCTAAAGGAATAATAAGGGCAATCATTCCTCATTTTCCAGTCGAAAGCCAAATGTTGTAGACTCTTAGAGCTAAGCCTTACTTCAAACTTCTTTAAAATGGAGAAAAACTCTCAGGAGTGAAGAAAGAAGACGGAGGAGGAGAAGAGAGAAGGAAGAAGGAGAAGAAGAAGAGAAGCAGGGAGAGGAAAGAAGAGGAGGAGGAAAAGGAAGAAGAGAAAGAGGAGGAAGAGATAACCTTCCTTGGTGTAAAGAACAAAGAATTCTATCAAGAGGATCCTGCCTAAACTAGGGCATATGTTCCAACAACTTCTCATTGTCTGCTAGGCTAGGGAAAGTCCATCCATTACACCCTGAGGAGTTTCAAAGGATCCTAGAAAACCTAAAAATCTTCAGGAATAGTTTAGTTCTTACTCCAGAAAACCTGCTATCATTCTACCTAAGCTGTAACACTCCCAGCCCCCACTAAAAACTGCTTAAAATTCAGCTACATAGTCTACATTAACATAATGCTTTTGGCTGATGATGCAGGCACAAAAATTAACGTTTAAGAATTTCAAAGTTGTGGTTGCTGTGGGAACCTTAATTCCAACTGTATGGCACAGATGCAGAATTGTGGACTACTCCCAATACTGATAAAATTGGAGATGTATATTTACACTGTGCAATGAGGCAGAGCTACAGTTACTGAGAGAAACTTATTTTGGCATTTCTAGGCTTTCATGCATTGAAATTCTCAACCTTACCACAATACTGTTTGCTGCATTAAACTGCCTCCTCCATAGGGGGGAAAAAAGTGGAGAGAATGAACTGATTGGCCAGACATTCAAAGAACCCATTCTGTATGTGTTTCTTATGCATAATCTGATTCAAAAGACAATCATGATATTTTTATTTTACTCTTATGAGCTGTCTGTAAACTCTCATGCAAATGAAAACAGGGCAGAAATTTCAATTTGTGAATGTACCAAGTCACGTAGACCTGCAAAACATCAGAAAGGTAAATTTCGTGTCTTTAGAACTACAAAATAGGTAAATTGTACAACTAGATAGCACTAACTTCGACCATGCTTTTTAATTTATGAAAACTGTCCAAACATTTGCCTGGGTCACTGGCTTTCATTGAAAACTCAGCTCTGTGACCAGTCGACACAGCTATACACGTTGCTTATCAGAGGGCAAAAACAGGAGTTGTAAAAGTGTCTGTAACAAGAAATAAGCACAAAAAAAAAGTTCTACCTCAATCCCTATTCCTAACAAGGCCTTATTACCATGCATGTGAGATGCAGGCCTTCCCCTCTCCTTGTTCTCAGAAAAACAGTATCTCCCTACTAAACAAACTCATCCTCCTCCTCCTCACATATCCTGGCCTTACCTCCTCTCCGGCCCCCAAGGGAGGAACACGAGCAGTGCCCATCCATAACGAAGAAGAGCAGTGAGTATGGTTCAGGAGAAACCGAGGCCTGCCCAGTAACAGCCAGGCTTCGAATATTAGGAGGTACTTTGGAGACTTAAAATACTTGTCTTTTAGCAATCTCAGACATATGTACCATACTTAACTAATTCTCCAGCCCCTTCCATTTGGTGTTTGAAGGGAGGCTGCACTGTTTCCCTATTCTTACCTGTGTGTTCTCCCCCTCCAGCCTCGGGGGTCGGATGCTGGACAGGTGGATGGTCTTGTAGTCACCAGAGTTCAGCTTCACAACAATGGCATCAGCATTCAGCACCTGCATCACCTGTGGGCATGAAAGCAAAAATACTGAAACCTGCTTCAATGGCCCAGACACCACAGCACGCGTGCTAAGGAATGAGGCCCTCCACAGTCAGGAGGAGACAAGTGAGAGCAATAGCCACTGAAATAGATCTAATATCCTTCATGAGACAACAATCCTGGGAAAAAACTATGTTACAACTGCCAGTCCCCAAAGACCTGATTACGATTTCTCAATGAGCAGAGTCTATAGCATTCATAAAGACAGTCAATCTTTTTTTTTTTTTATCTTTTGCCCTGACCAAGACATGTGGTTAACTACAAAGCGTATGAACTAGAAATCCAGTCTCTACTTGTTACTGAAGATTTTTCTGGAAACAGGCTCTAAACTAAAATTGATCCCTATCTCAACGTGAATCTAGGATAAGTGGCAAGAGCTAGATTAGAAGAAGGTACCGGCACTGTATGTGAAAGAAGAAAATAGCATGCCCAAAAGAGATCAGGAAAATCAAAGGCAAATGAAGGGCAAACAGAACTGTCATCTCAGCATGGAAAAGTTGTTAGTCTCACAGGTAGAAACATTAAATCACTAAGACATTCATTACTTCAGCTACTTTGAAAGCCACCTTTTCAGAGCACTACTATGGGAACTTTGTTCTGGAACCCCAAATCAGTGACACTGGACCCCACACTCAGCTAAAAGATTAACTTCCAGTCTGAGATAACTTACAAGGAAAACTATTCAGAAAGACAAAAGCACAAATGTTCCTCGGTGGAGGTTATCAGGACACTCCACTGATGTGCACAGAATAACATTCCATTAAAACCAGGCTAGTACTACATCAGGGTTACAACTAAAACTACAATTCAGCCAGCAGTCTTTAATTCATCTAATTATACTCAGAGTCTGTTGTTATATGGCTGTTCCATTTCTTTCTTGCCTTTTTTTTTTTGCAAGCAACACTTTGCTACAAGGTACCTATTGATTACAAAACAGTGTCACCATCCACTTCATCTGTAGAATCAAAAACACCTCTAGTCTTCAATCAGGCCCCATCAGGATCCGACAGCCAGCCAAACAAACTACAGGGTCAGCTGCTACAGTGAGCACAGAATCCCCAAATGAAACGAAAGGAGCTAACTCTCCTTTGCTATGGATAAAAGGGCCATCGCTAACTACTCCCTGGAAGGCTTCAGATCTTTGAGGCTAAATATACCGATTTACTTGCAGACTCCTCCAAAATGGCTATCCTCTACCTTTTCCCAAAGAACCTGCCAACCACACACCAAAAAGAGAGATTTAAGGGACAATCTGAGTGATTTAAGGGACAATCTGAGTGATTTAAGGGAGCAAAAAGCAAAAACAAGAGAGAAATTATGCAGAACAGGAAACAGCAGGAGGAAAGTGCCATCAAACAGAATGGATGAAATAAGAAAGATGATCGTTAGAATTGAGCTATAGATCCATGGAAGGCTGACTAGGGCTGGTGGATGAAAGACGTCCCTAGATTTTACCACCATCAGTAAGGGAAGCCATGTTCAGAAAACCATGCCATTAACTGGAAAAGTAACGAAAGTCTGAGAAATAGCTGAGTAGATGGGGCGAGAATGGGAGACATATACATTTCTAAAAATTATATTTACTGCGACAACTAACATTATATAAATTTCAGGTGTACATTATAATACAGCATCTACATATACTCAATGTGCACTCACCACCCGAAGTCTAGTTTCCTTCCTCTATCATACATTTGCCCCTTCCATCCTCCACCTAGCCCCTTTTCTAATTGTCCACTATATACGGGTTAACTTGCAACTCTGAAAGCAGCAAAAAGCTAGTCTCAAAAAACCACAGCCATTCTGCTGTAACTTTTATGACAGATCTGATCATCACAATGGCTAACCACAAATAACCAAACAGCCAGAACCTAAAACTCATCTGATCAGAAAAACTTGGTGAAGTCCAATCACCAATTTTAAGTAATCAAAAGCATGGTCTTTGGTCACACCAAGACCAAGGTCAAGGCTGATTACCTAAGTACGGATGGTATCAAAGGTCACCGGACCCTCCAAATCAAAGAGCCCTCTATGCCAACCCAATCACAAAAATATGTTCATGAGTGCAGAACTTAAAAATAGGCCGCAAGATATAACCAAAAATACAGGTTCAGTAATTGAATGAAGAAGAGCACATCTTATTCCTACTACCATCTAAACATTAATGCCAAGTAAAAATGTCCATTATAATGGAAACTTTCTCTCATTCCCTAAAGATACCATCAGTAGCTTGGAGACCTGACCAAAACAGATAAAAAATGATTTCCCTATCCTTTAAAATCCATCATTTGAGTGAAAGGAACAAATTATAAAATGGATGACAGAACATCCCAAGGACGAAGTATTCATGATACATGCTAGTCTGCTATCCCACCTTCAAACCAAAGAGAAGAAAAGTTCCACAAAACCATGCCAAGCAAAATAACTAAGTAAAGCAAACCACCGCTGCTCTTCTCTCAAAGGTACAGGACCACTGCCCAAAGGAAAGTAGGGTAATTGTCAGGCATCGCAGACGAACAAAAATCATTTTCTTAATCTCAATAATGAACAGAGCTACACATTCCTCTCATATCAAAACTCTTATCGTCAATTGCCAAAAACATTGAGAAATTTCTGGATCAGGACATGAAAAATATCTAGACATCCTCCAATCCCTAGTCATGCTAAGAGAGGAACAAAACCAGGGAAAGTACCATAGTGCTCACACCTTCACCCCTTGATTACAGAACGTGAAGATCTAAGCATAACCCTGTGACAAGTTACTGGTGTTCGTCACCCGCCGTCATGCGTTAGCAGCAGCAGCAGCGAATGGATTCCTGAAGCTGTAAATTTCAGGCCACAAGCAGCAGACTTTCTCTGCTTGGCAATTCCCTGATTAGAAACCTCCTCTTCAAGACCTGTACACCCAGACTGCCAGCTAAAAGAGGTTTGGCTTTCTGGTGAAGGGGTGTATGGTGAGTGCATGTGTGTGTGTCTGTATGTGTATTTAAGGGGGATTTATGACTTACTATTCCTCTGTAAATTGTGTCATTACTGTCCGGAGAACAAGCAGCTCCAGAGCTGAGGCATGGAAGAGGCAATAAAATAGTGGTTCTAGTCACGTACTGTGCAATAAGTAAAATGCAGAGTGGATTACTACCCAAAGCCTGCTCATCAGCACCGTTACAGACCACATTTATAACAGTGATATTTCTTACGGCGCTTTTCATCAGGATAATTCTAAGTATGCCCACATCACTCACTTTCTCCACAAGCTGCAGATTCCTGTTCAATCTACCCACACATACACCCCCATACCACACACTCTAGGAGATAACCTAAGGCACAGCAGAAATCTACGCTAAAAAAAGTCACTAGCTGGACTCAAAATACATGCCCTAAATCCAAATCCTTCCCCATTTCTTGAAGCCCAAACACAAAAGAAAAAATGAGTGGTTGATTAATGACGGGTGTAGGCTAAGGGCTGCCACAAGTTAAGAGAAGTGCAGAGTGCTGTCAGGGGCTGGGACACGCATTCCCATCCCTGGCCTCCGGCCACACTCGCCATCTGCAGAGCCCATCCACAGTGATCACTGGGCGGTGAAGGGCTGCTACTGTTCAGCTTCTTAAAATCCTGCAGTGCATATAAAATGAGCAAAAAGAGCCTACAATAGCCTCCTGAGCTACAGAGACATTCAGAAGAGCTCCCCAGATACAACTACCAATATTCCCAAAGTTAACTAAATTATCAGTACCAGATAGGAATAAAAGGACCAGCAGCCAAAAGGCGGGGGTTGTACAGGCACCAGCAGGGACTGCCCTTGATGGGGCCACTGAAAATGGGACAACAAATACCCTTTCTATTCTCTGAAATCATGACATCTAGCTCCTTCTGCTCCATAAGGCTATAGGCTATGTCTAGTGTCCCCAAAACTAATCCTGTCAATGCTAATGAATCAACACCAAAAGTGGGTAAAATAAGGAATACCCCACACAACTATTACAGGAATGGCCTGGAGTTACTACATAGTCCCTTCCCTGTCCCGCAGAAGTGTGTGTCCTCAACAAAATACTAAGCACAACATTTCCTGATGCAAATACCTCTGGGCACCTAAGCATGATCAAACACACTAGATGTTATAACAGGTACTTCAAAGGAAACCAGACATCAGACAAATTCCCATGGATGGGCATTCTACAAAACACCCAGCCAAGACTCCTCAAAACTGTCAAGGTCATCAAAAGCAAAGAAAGTCTGAGAAACTGCCAGATCCACAAGGAGCCTGAGGAGACATGACAATGAAATTTGGTGGGCCATCATGGATGACATTCTGGAACACAAAGCAGACATTGAGAAAAACTAAGGAAATCTGACTAACGTATGGACTTCAGTTGAAAATAACATATCAATATTGGTATTCTACTTATCTTCGTTGTGCCATAATCATATCAGAGAACAGTAGGAGAAATGGGAAGGAGAGAGGGAGGAATGGGAAACTGTCTGTACTATCAGTCCAGCTTTTCTGTAAATTTAAAACTGTTCTAAAAAAATTAAGTCACTATTTAAAAAGCCAGGTAAATACTTTTTACAAATCTTTTCTAATTCAATCATTTTCTTTTCTATCAGCTACCAGTTTGCTAACTTAAGCTATAAACTAAGTCTTGATATCTTTTTTTAAGATTTTATTTATTTATTTTTAGACATGGGGGAAGGGAGGGAAAGAAGGAGAAAAATATGGATGTGTGAGAGAAACACTGATCAGTTGCCTTTCACACATCAACTGGGGACCTGGCCCGCAACCCACGCATGTACCAACTGGGAACTGAACCTACGACCTTTCAGTTCACAGCCCGGCACTCAATCTATAGCCACACCAGCCAGGGCTTGATATCTTTTTGGTATAACGGAGGCCACCTTTCCAACCAGATCACCCACAAAACTTCATCTGAAAGCCCTGTAACAAAAAAGTCAAGGAAATAGCTAGT